TGAATTTTGTGGGCGGTGTCCCTTATTGAAATAATTTTGTGGGCGGTGTCCCTTGTTAAATGAATTTTGTGGGCGGTGTCCCTTATTGAATTAATTTTGTGGGCGGTGTCCCTTGGGTTTATTGTGTTTTGAAATTTTGGAAATGTCCATTTTTAAGGGGAAGTCATGCCGGATTTTTTTTAAAAAAAATAATAAAAATTTAATTTAACTCTGCTTTATATTTTGCTACTATAGGTAATGTCTTGTTTTACATTCAAATTCATTTTTTGCTACTACATTGAAGGACATGGCAGTAAGTTGTAGGCAGTGGCACCAGCGGGATTGATAGGAAGCATTCTCTAGTTGCTGCAACTCCAGAAAGCTAGTGATCTCTAAGTTAATCAAATGGAGGCCTATGCAAGTATAAAAAAGTGGGTGTACATTTTATGGAATGAATATTAGTGATCTCCAATTATGTGTATATTTTTTGTAAGTGTAATAAAGTGTGTGTGTACTTTCAAATATTTTAAAGGAATGTCTAGCTTCTTATATGTGGAAGTATATATGTGAATGATGCAACACTCAAGTTCTTAAGATTGTGATGTATAAAGCAAAACTATACGTGGAAGTATATATGTGAATGTCGTTCAGTCTTGTAAGAGGGATCTTCCTTGATTGCTTACTTTTAATCTTTATTCATATTTATCAATTCTGCTTATGGTTGGATATTGTATGAAATATTCACAAGTCCGTTATCAAAATAAATACTCAACAAAAGGGGAAATGGTCTTATGACTAAACAAAAAAAAATATTACCAATTTGAAGGACCTCCACTGCAAAATTTCAAACTAATCTAAGTGAAGTAAAACTATTTACAAGCTTCAATGTTCACCAAATTTCAACTCTGACCAATTCAAGACGATTAACGTTTTGGCTTTCTTTCTTGTTAGTTTTAACTACAAGGATCTCTCTCTCTCTCACATTCTTCATGAATATATATATATATATATATATATATATATATATATATATATGAAACAAAACAAAGTTAAATGGAATGCAAGCCAAAAGAAAAAGATAAATGGAGTGCAAAGATCTACTCTCATTAAAAGATTATTACAAAGTTAGATTTGTAATTTGGTTGCCATTAATCATGTTTATGCAGATTTATTCATTATTACAAAGTAGTTTGGTTGCCATTATACTTGTAAATTTAACAAAAAAAAAATTTCCCAACTCTAATGCAGATTTTTTTTTTTTTTTTTTTCCATAAATTATTTCAAATCATAAAGAAAAATGGACTATTTTACATATAAACTTATAATTGTATTCATATATATAATTTTTCAAAACAAAACAAAACAGTCTTTACCAAACAGGTATTCTGTTATTGATTCAGAATTTTTAATAACAAAACACTATTCTCAAACGTATTTTGTTTTTGAATTTCTTAAAACGCATGACAATACCAAACGCGTTATCATGTTTCTGATATACAATTATTAAAAACAAAACAATCGTTACCAAACATGGATCCGATTTCTACTAAAAACATACCAATACCAAAACAGTTGTTTTCATATCGTACCAAACCATAACATATAACGTTATCGCCATCCAAACGGACCCTTATTTTTTCAGTTTTTCATAGCCTTATCATCTTCTTTTATATGAATTTTATTTGTACAAAATATAGAATAAGACTGTAATGTTTTTCAAATTTTCATTAGTTTTGATCATTATAGCAATAAACAAATGCCTATCAAATTAACAGATGAATATTAATAATCAAAGACACAATCTTTTATAGATACACAATTTAATTATATATAGGAAATGCAATCTTAAATATCTCAACAATTCTTAGAGAAATACAATGTGATGTATATATATAACACATATATAATTTGATATAGATGGTTATTGAAACTTTAATCCCCTACAAAGATATTATATTAAGATGAAACTAAAAAAATGAATTATAACTTTTCAAATTTTAAAATTTTTAAAATGAATCCCATTATATTTGATACATAAATTAGCCACTGAAATAATAATTTTTTTATTTATCGGAAAAAATAGGACTCTTGTGTTTTCCAACCTTTCCACAAATCGTGGAAGATCCCTTACGTAAAAATATAGAATCTCAACTGTATGTTAGTAAAAGGGTGAGAGATTTAGAGCTGCAGGAACCTAAACATGAAAGTCAAACGTTCTAATTTTGAAAAATGAAATAAGAAATAAGAAATAAGAAATAAAAAAATATATAATAGTAATAAATAAATGAACGAATAAAAATCTTATCTTTACACAGTTCAATGGACGTTCTTAAAGTTCGTGTTATGGCTGAATCATATACTCGATTGTTATTTTTAAACTAAACCCAGATAAACTTGCGGAAATTAAGCCTTGTTTGAATTGCAACTGTAGAAACAGTTTTTAAAGAATCAGGATAAAAAAACTGTTTCTAATGTTTTACAATTTTTCAATTCTTTACAATTTTTTATTAATTTTGATCATTATAATATTGAATAAATGTCTATCAAATTAATGAATGAATATTAATGATAAAAGACACAATCTTTTATATATAACTAGAAATACATAATTTAATTATATATAGGAGATGCAATTTAAATATCTCAATAATTCTTAAAGAAATGTTATATATATAATACATATACAATTTGATATAAATGATGATTAAAACTTTAATTCTCAACAACGATTATTAAGATTAAATCTAAAAAGAGAATTATAGCTTTTAAATTTATTTTAAAATAAAACTCGTTATACTTGATACATAAATAACTACATATGGTGAAATAATAAATTTTTATTCGTCGGAAAAAAATAGGACTCTTGTGTTTTTCAAGCTTTCCACAAATCATGGAAGATCCCTTACTTAAAAATATAGAATCTGAACTGTATGTCAGTAAAGGGTGGGAGATTTTAGAGCTGCAGGAACCTAGGCCCATCAAAGTCAAACGTTCAAATCTTGAAAAATGAAATAAGAATTTAAAAAGTAATACAGTAATAAATAAATAAAAATCTTATCTTTTACACGGTTCAATGAACGTTCTTAAAGTTCGTTGTCGGGCTGAATCATACTCGATTGTTATTTTTAAACTAAACCCAGACAATCTTGTGAAAATTAGGCCTGCCTTGAATTGTAACTGCAAAAACAATTTTCAAGAACAGTTTTTAAAGAATCAGAACAAAAAACTGTTTTCAATTTTTTCAAATTGATAATCTGTTTGGTTGGAAAAATTACAAAACAATTTTCGAAGAACAAAAACTCATAAATCTGTTTAGTTGTATATAGTGAAAATAGCTTTATGAATAAAAAAATTGCACATTACTTTATATGATTATTATTATTTGAGATGTTAACTACTAATACAATATATTTTTTTCTTCTAAATTTACTATGCAATAATTATTAATCTAAGCTGCTTTAAGGAACATTCATTCCATAATTGAGAGATCATCTCCATATATACCATAATCACAGCAAGAGTAGACACTCCAGTGGAAGATGCAAGTGACAACATCTGTGTTAATAAAAAAACAAAAGCTATCCCCCTTTCAATGGAACAATTCAATAATTTAAAAAATAAAAAATAAAAACCTACACGAATATGATCCTTTATACCATTATTTCCCATGCTAACAAACTGGGAATAATGGTTGTTACTATTAACACAAGTTTTATCAGATTGCTAGCCAAAGATAAAGAGAAACAAGGAATTACGAAAAGTAGGGGAAAAAAAAAAAGAAAAAGAAAAGAGGACAAATCCAGGAAAATCAACCAAATCTCAACCGAAGGAAACCCTAATATTCAAGCAAATTTATAGCATAACCAAATCCATAACAACTCTCCTCCAAAACCAAATCCATCCCACCAAATCAAAGATATTAAACCTCAACACAAACTGGACGTGTTAGACAATGAAAGAAAACCCATGGACTTGAAAAATAACAAAGATTCCCAACAAATCGATTGATGAAATTGTGAAAGAGATATATAGCTTTATCTGAAAAGAGTCACATAAAAAGAGATTAATAGCTTTACGTGAGCTGAGAGAGAGATCCAGTCAATCATGAATGAAAAATCCAATGGATCTTGAGCCCTACAACATTAGAGAAGAAGACAATGAGATAGATCTATGAGGGTTGGAAATCTGATGTGAGAAAACTATTACTGTTGAAGAAAGAGAGAGCTAGAGAGGCTGCTCAGAGAAATATTTGGACAATGTTATAAATGAGGGTTTACGTAGTTGTTGCCCGTACTTTTTAAGCAGCGTTCAGTTCTCCGGGTTTTCCAATTTTGCATCTCAATGTTTCCCAAAACTTTGAAAACAACAAATTGTTGTTCTATGAGAACCTCAACTCTATTAACTCAGTTTCCAAAAAACTCTTTTTATAAAACAGATCCAAGCAGAACTATTTTGCAGTTTTCAGTTTCTTGTCACTATGAAAATAGAAAACAATTTCCATAATTCCAGGCATGCTTGGTTTGTAACTCTTAAAATAGTTCTCAAGAATTCAGAGAATAGAAAACTGTTTTCAGAGAACTATAAAAGACAATTCCCTGAAAACAGTTCTCAGAAAGCTGAACCAAGCACATATTTTTTAACAGTTTTCTGTGTGTGTTTTCTCAAAATAGAAAACTGTTTTCAGAGTTGCAAACCAAGCACATTAGGGCATTGGAGTGAAAACAGTCCTCTTATCAATTTCAAGCACATTTCACTTTTACAGCAAACATAACACATACATTAGAATTTTCTTGTAAAAATTCCAAAGAAAATGAGAAGTAGCACTCGTGCAAATACCGAAGTTCCTATCAGATGAACAGTTGGGATGTGCTAAATCTGTCTTCTCACTGCACATAATCCCATTTTGAGCGATGAGAGGTTCCTTGGAATTCCAAAGATCCCTTATTGATACCAACTAGTCACCCCCCAAATTCATAGGACCAGTTCATGATGAAAAGGAAAGTAACCCTGACTCTTACTCAGGTCCCAAATGTGGTGGAAGCTTAATAAAAAATAGTCGACCAATGAATTCAACACAGATACAACATCAATAAGGGTACAGCTGTCTCAAACGTGTCAAACCTGAATCCAGGATTAGTCGGAGAGTGGACCCATGTGGGCCATAAAAATAATTCAGGCAGACAATAAATTTTTGGTGTTATACAGTTAAATTTGTCATTAAAATGTTCATAATTGAAGAATCAGCAATAGGTGCCTAATGTGTCTAGAATTTTGTTCAGCTTCTTTTAAAACAATTTTAGGGGGTCTAATACAACATGAAAGAGATGCCATAATCTGTTCGCCCGTGTCAAAGATAACTGGACGAAAAACGGATTCAAAAACACCAAGTAATCCACTTGTTCAACTGCATTCTTCATTAGCCTAGACAATGACGTATCAAACTTGGCGGGTAAAGGACAGCACAAACCTGATGGGTAACCATGCAGAAACTTCCCAACTTTGATGAAATAGATGGCTGATCTTTGATTTTACTATGCAGCTATAGCTTGAATCATATAAATAGAGCCGCTGATCTAGCTGCAGAAACAAGAGTCGGATTAACAACTGCATCCTACAGAATCATTGTAAAAGATAAAAATTAAAAAATGTATATCCACTACAAAGGGATTATAGACCACCACTGAATGGTCCTTGTAAAATCATCAGAATGAGAGTGACTCTACAGAAGCAATGGAGGAGATACCATTATTAGCTCCTTTGACTGTCGGAATCTGAGATGAGGTCTTCAAGTTCATCGACAATGGCATCATGGCAGAAAATAAATTGATCCTAAAGAACGGTGAGTAATGTAGAAAGTAAGCAGATGAAAAGAAACAAAAGAAAAAAGAAGAAGAAAAAAAGAGGATGAGAATGCCAGCAGCAAAATGATTGTGTCATCGTAGTTCATTGGAAATGAACTCTCTGTCCTACTTTATCAGAATAGATGTCCTACCACTGCAACAGTAAGATGGATTCCGAACATGCATTTGATTGCCAAGAAGTCAAAGGAACTAAATACGGAGCTTGCAACTGTATGGGGTTGGAATAGTTGTCATAAAATTCCATTAGCTAAAGATTTGAAACAAAGGTTTACTTAAATATACATACCTCTGATGCAGAAAATTGATTTTCAAGGATAAAAAAGTTTTAAAAATAGCAAACATTCATTAGCACAACTAATTTAATATTAGGAAATACTACTGTGGATACATTGATTATGTGTCAGAGAAGACATGATCGCCTGTAAAATAAGGAAAGATGTCTCCTTGATAGAGCGAATTGTGGCCCACTTGCAATAACAATCACTTTTAACAATGAATATTTGGTACTTGCCTAAAATATTTAAAACCTTATCACCCATTAATTCTACTCTACACATTGTCACTAAGCAAACAAAGCAGGCTAATTGTCAGCTTGTTAAAATAGGAGGTCACAAGTTAAAAGCCTACTATAGAACAAGAAGTGATATGTAAAGCACCAAAGTAAGATGGAAATATACCAATGTCTGAATCATTCCAACTCGCTGCGACCTAAACAAGGTTACAGTATTAACAAGATCTAAAGCAGACATATCTCCCATTAGGACTCTTTGGATTGTATTCTGAATTGCGCAATACGTTCCAGTTCTCCCAATACCTGCACTGCATAAATATTAAAAATGTCTCAGGACTTCCTGAACATCAATTAGGCCATTTTACTTATAAGATAAAATTAAACTGAACCTGCAGTGCACCACTATTGGACCTAGGCTTGGCGGTACGCTATATACTCTTCTCAATATTTCACGAACAGCACAGGTGTCCCTGGGAACTCCATGATCAGGCCATTCGGGATATTGAATATGCAAAACAGGTAAGGGTGGCTCTTCTGACTGCAACAAAAATAAACAAAGATTTATCCAATCCTTTCCCATTATTATATAGGAGCAACATCCGATTTTCACTTATAATATTCAACAAATATCCCAAGAATTCAACAAGCAGCAAATTTTTAGTCCCAGCGATGGTAAGAAGATCTTGCAACTAGCAATAAATATCTGCATGAACAATAAGGACAGAATGACACTGAAAATCCCAAAAATAAATAAATGGCAACAGTGGCAACCATAAACGCTAGAAATAAAAAATAAATAAATAAATAAAGCACCATCCCTCCCTCCCCATCTCACGCACACACGCAGCTTTTTATTTGTCCAATTTAACTTTTGGTTTTGTTATCTTGTTGCTTTGTAAATTGGTTTGCTGAGAAAAAGCTCCTGATTCATTCGAGCCATGTATTTGTATTTCTTTGATCTATATCAATTTGGTTGGATGTCATCAGTGTTGTTAAAGGCACGCCTAGGTGCTCGCCTAGGCTCCAGGCTCATACGGGCACAACACTTGCGCCTGTTGTGTGCCTAGGTGCACCTTTGACAACATTTGCGCTTTTTATATGGAATGTGAATAGTGTGCCTAGGCTCCAGGCTCATATGGGCGAAACACTTGCGCCTATTGTGTGCCAGGTGCATCTTTGACAACATTTGTGCTTTTTATATGGAATATGAATATGCATTAATAGTAATTTAATTTTTCAATTGTGCTTTGCTTCACTCAAGCGCACACCTCGCCTTGCGCCTAGGCTCCAAAGGACCTCTAGTGCTTTAGTGCATCTTGGGCCTTTGATAACACTAGATATCATTTTGATTTCTCATTCTATTTTCTGATCATTGGCCCATGCTTTGTGGATAATATGCTGATGAGATTGAGAATATTTATTTGGAGATTAGGGTGGGATAACATAAAGAACCCTTAGGGGTATAGGTCGAGGACAAGGTGGTCTCACTTTACTCTAGATAGGATCGGGATATGGGAAACCCATTCCATACCTGTCACGTTGCAATACCTAAACATGCAGTACGAGAAAAATAGAGGCATGATCCTTTCTTCAGGTATCATTCATCACAGAGTTCAAATGTTTCTCCTACTTATAGCAAGCGAGTCCATCTTAAGCTTGGCCAAATATTTTTTTCGGTTCTATAGGAAATCTTTTAAACCCTTTGGGTAAGTAACTATAACTGATTTAAACATTGATTTCATGTTGAAGGAATAAACTATATTGATCATATGGTCCATAGTTATCCACAATACTTTCAATTTCAGTATGGTATGACAGCTCTTAAATCATATTTGGCATTTGTACAGCATATCATTTATCAAAAAATTGCCTTACCTCCTTGTAATTTACCTCCAAATGGCGCAACACTAATGAAGTGTCAGTTGTTCGTATCCATTTAGTGACAATACATATATTACCAAATTCTCTAGGGCCATCCTCTGCCTGAAAATAATCTCCACATTTCACCGTCTGCATGTGAATTTTTAGTGGAAGAAAATTCCAGGGAAAAAAAATTGGGATGAGATAAGAAAAAGTATAAAAAAAAAAAATTTTAAAAAGAAGAAGTTAATAACTCAAAAGAGAAAAATCAAATGATTTTAAAGAGAAATAATTAATGAACAATAAAGGAAAATATATATCTAATTTCCACATAACATCTAAATAGTGCACAAGTCACCACAATACAAATTATTAACTCCATATGACAAGTTATAAGCATGAGAAATAATAGAGTTAAAGCTTGCCTTCAATGTCAAATTCTACACGTTGTTAATGATTATAACCAAAATAACAGAGAGCGGGAGCGAAAGCCAGAGCGCGAAAGCAAAGTCTAAATTTTTTGAATGCGGGAGCGTCTTGAGAGCTTCTGTATATTAGGTTTAAATAAAATTATATCAAGTCATGAAATATGTATTTTATATTTTATTTATTTATTTAAATCCATATGTAAATATATTCATGATTATTTATTCCATTAATGATATATATAATAAATAAGTTAACTTTTCTCACTAATAGATGCATAATATATTTGTAATATTCTCTAATTGGAAAGTGTTTTAGTAGTATATTTTCAAACATGTATAATTAATATATATATATATATATATACACACACATATGGTAGTATAGCAATGCCATACAGCTGGGGCACACTTAAAGTTTAAGTAATTAATGTATATATTGAGTAATAGTGCAAGTAATAAATGCATATATGGTAATATAAGTGTTCCATATCACTGGGATTCTAACAAATTTAGCTATATAAAGTAAATTCGTATGAAAATAGCGAATTAGGAAAACAAATTCGCGAATTGCAAAAATTGAATTCGCCAGATTTTGTACAAATTTACTCCCAAATCGCAAATTCGCGTGCGGAGCTTGACAGCGGGGCCTCTTTAGACGAATTGTGTGACTAAGATTATAACAAGTCTGGACTAAGTTGCATATAATGTAGAGGATATAAGAATCAGCTGTGCTCTTTAAGCACCATAAGATCTTTTTGCAAAGGAGAAAACAATATTAAATTGTTTTCTTCTATCTATTTTTTGTAATGTACATTTAAGTAATAGTAAGTGGTTCAATAATGGAAACAGTAAAAAATTCATTTTTCTTCCTGTAGCTTATTTTCTGACTTATTTATCTCCTTTCAGGTGGCGATGATAGCGAAGCAGAAAGCAAAGGAAAGACTACAGCAAGCAAAAAGACAAATTTACATTGAATGGATATTAAATGACTCTGATGATTACCAAATTTACATTGAACTCTATACAGTTTAGTACCTTATAATTGTCAACCAACCGAGTAAGCATCACTATAACAGGGCAACGATACTGGATTACCATCTCCCAGAAGTCCTCATAGGTGTGTGGTAGTGGACCTTGCGTGGCTATGAACCGAGATATTCTTTCAGAAGAAGATGCCTACATTCAAAGTTAATAATGGTCAAGCCGGATATACGGTTCCAGATACCACAAAATTCTCTACTAAGGGAGTGTGAAGTATAGTGCCATGTACATGTGATTTTAGGTGAAGAATAGAAGTTTCTACCGTAATGAAGCTTGCATTGATATATCCCCTTGCTGATGGTCTGTAATCCTTGCACGGGTTGAGAACAACCCTGTTGTTGTCAACTGAGAACAAAGAGTTCAAAACAATTACTCCCCATTCACACGAGTTAAATAATTTAAATTTCCAAAGAAAAAAGGAACTGGATTAGCATACATGGTAAGACATCTGTATAGCGGTTTTTGCTGTAATTGACACTGTCACGAGCCACTAAGCATCTACTATGCATGTCCGATGACCTTATCCTATTGGCCTGCAATTAAAGATAATAGCACTTAGTACTGTAATCAGAATTAGGCAGGAAAAAAAAAATAGGCAGACAGTGTTCAGACAGAGAGTATCACGATAGCAATTAATCTCCAGAAGAAGAAGAAGAAGAAGAGCAGAACTACCAAAAACGAGAAGAGCAGAACTACCAAAAACTAAGGACTTGCAGGTAGTTATAGTGGTGTTTGGGATATGACTATTATGTGGTATAAGATGGTGGATTGGACTCCTTTGTATAATCTTTATTGTTATTGGATTCTTTTTAATTTCTTTTTATATGGTGGATTGGGGGTTCCACATATTGTATAATTCCCTGGGGTATACCCCTTGTATTGTGCAGGGTTACCAAATCTCACCCGCTTACCTATCCCAAAAATATTAAAAAACAATAACAACAATTATGAACTGATATGACCAACATTGTACAATGGGAAAAATGGTGAAGCAAAATTTTCAGTGAAAAACTTGAAAAAAAAAAAGGTGAGCCAGAATCCGTTAGATGTATTAATAAAAGAAAATAAAAGTTTCCTCGCGAAAGATGAAGAAAATAGCAACATTTGTTTTGGAAAAATGGAGATAAATAAAGCTTTTGAAAGGTTTTGCAAAGGGCAGGAGTTGCAGTTACAAAATTAATGTAAACTGAACTGAATGAAATTCGTAACTCAATTTACTGGGAAAATATCATAAGAATCAACATTCAGATATATGTTATCAAGAAAAGGCAAAGTGAAAATGGAATGGGAGAAGTACCTTTCCATAAAAAATTTGACTTGAACAAAACATAATAAATTAGCAGGTGAACAACAGTGACATTACAAGAAACGAACATGAATGAGTGAAATTGAACCGTGAAGAGGGGGAGGGGAAGCAAAAAGAAAGGGAAAAAAATATGAGCAGTGATGATCTCATCTCCCTCCCTCCAGAACTTTCAAGTGCATTTCTATCTTATAATGGAGAAAACGACTCCATAAACATTTCATATTGACATGAGCAAATGAAGGCGGAAATACGATTTGGTAAAATAACTATGCTTTATGGGACAAAATGTTGAGTAATTAAGACATGTACTTAAATGAGTAGCTTAAACACCTATTTTGGATGAAGGCAGAAAACAAGAATGAACTATAAAAAATGGAACTCCTAACACAATAGTAGCTCAATGAAATAAAATCAGAAAAGATACTTTGTCCATGTGCAAAAAAGACAAATAATTCCACAAGTGGAAATGAGCAATATTTGTCTTTTTGAGAGAAATACCAGGAAACCTAGGATAAAGTAAAGACCAAAATTAACATGGATTTAGTTAGCAAACCAAAGCACAATGAGTTTATGGTGTAATATATGTTATGGTTCGAACTTCGAGCAAAGCGGGAGTGGCAAAGTGGTAATGTAGGATTCATGCAGCCAACCAAACCTAGTTTGGACAAGGAGTCAGTGAACCATCTTCTTCTCCATTGTCCAGTGGCTCGGAATAGTTGGGCAATGGTTTAGGGTTTGTTTGGGTTTATTGGGTCATGCTGCTCTCTACATGGATCTTGCTCGAGGCTTGAAGAGGTTGTATGGTGGGGGATTAAGTCTGAGATGCTTGGAGGGTGGCGCCTTTGTGCGTATGCTGGATATTGTGGAGAGAGAGAAATAGAAGGTCCTTCGATGGTGAAGAGACTCTTATTGGTGTTTAAGTTCTTTTTTCTTAGCTCTTTTTTCTTTAGGCTTCGGGTAATGAATTGTAAATCAATAGGGAAGACAGTGGGTTTTATGGATATGTTGAGAGCTTAGGGGCCCTATACGGCCCTTGTGTAGTTTTTGGGATGCATTCCCCAGTTGAGCGCAAGTCTATGATATATTACTTATCAAAAGAAAAAAAAAAAAATCCTAACTACAACTCTGTCCAGGACAAGAAATAACTGGGAACTCGTAGATTATACCATAAAATAGAGGTCAAAGTTCTTGTTGAGACTTGAGAGAGAGAGAGATTTGACCGCTATATAATATGACTATTAAAACTAACATGAACTAGTGAACAAAAAGGCAACCTAATTAGTACACAAAAGCTTCAAAGCTGAACATTACCTTGGCCATAAGAGAGCAAATAATACTTAACTAAAAAAACAATAAAGAGAGCAAATAACAATGGATGCTCCAAAAACTAGCTAGTCCCTAGCTGGCAATGCTTGCTCAAATCAAGAAACAATATTTGATAAATATACCCATTATAGCATTTCCGTTCACATTTTATATTCCTTAAATGTAAAGATTACAGATACTTAAATATATAAATATATAAAATGATCCAACCAAGTGATGGCCCTAAAGAAGGCTGACAATCTACAGATCACATTGTAGATTCAAATTGCATGCCTTAGACTTCATATAATGGATCAGCAAAGCATCAAGATTAAGAATGTGTCAGAACAAGAGCACAATAGTGGAAATTTTCAAGAGCTACACGTGTGTGTGTACATATATACATACACATTTTCATGTATGTGTTTAAGTAACTCATAGTGGCAATGTGGGTGTGTGACTTCTCCAACACTTGCCAAAGTAAAAAAGTAAATATATACAACGAATAGCCGTAGCGTGGTCGTGCGGCAATCAGAAAGGCACTAGTGTTTTGCATATCTAGCAACAATTTACTCCCCAAAGGTTCATATTCAATGGTGACACATATTTATTGATTACAATGCATCCAAAATGAAACGAATTGAAGCAATTCTTGGTTCATTTGGCCTAAAATATTCCAAGTCAATATTGGGTCGACACATCATCCTCCCTTTAGAGAAATTTGGTCATCTAAATTTACGTACATTATATTATAATTTATAATTAAAAATGTGGTTACTCCTATTTCATCTCATTTTCATTCCTCCAAGTAACCTTCTCTAAGGAATGATGCTGCCAAGACACTTTTACAAATGGTACTGCATTGGACTGTAACATTCATTCCTTTCAATCTAGAATCTGGATGGACTTTTCCACATAAATCACATCATCTCTAATAAGGATCGACTCATGATCCAAGATATATGATGGCTCCAGATTATACTTCCGAAACTTATTCTCTCTAATGAAGGAAGGAGCTAATCGTATGTTTAACACCACAACTTGAATACCAACAGCATGGTAGTGGGAGGATAGATTTACGGTGGAAAAATCTAGACTGAACATAGAATGGGAAAATCATAGCAGCATCCACAACAATGTCCAATGCCGAATAGCAACATATGCAACAAAGTCAGTGCTGATATTTGATGTGTGAAAATAAAATACAGGTTGTAAAGGAACCATAGCAATTCATTAAGGAACACATAAAAACAAAAAAAAAAAAAAACACACCATAGCACGTAAAGGATAAAAGCAACGACATGAATTGTATCAAAAAGCCGTTAGTGGACAAGTGGATGAGACCTGGAATCAGATTTTGGTGCCATCAATCACATAACATCAAGTATTGCCATTCAATCAACCCAATTAGGTGCAAAGCAATCACGGGTCCAAAAATGTAAAGCTTATTAGTATTGTCCCTCGTACCATTCATGTATAATTCCTTTATGATCATTTTTGCCCTCTTCTCTTTAGGATAATCAAATGGGCAATAATTTAGTAGACTGATACCATCAAATGATGTCCCAGTAAGAAGTTGAAAAATACTAATAAGCAGATTATGTTCAACTCACTACCATTTGTCAGGCCTTCTAGATGGTGTGTGGTCAAAATTGTAGTCTTCCTTCATCTAAATCTCTCACATCAGAACCCTAAACTTAATCTATTTAAAAAAAATTGGTATGTCCTGTTCTTCTGCCATTTCAGTTCAGCTTATAATTTTAACCAATTCAACGGTGCAAAACTTATATGATAAAAATAAAAAATAATAATGATGATTCAATCAGGTAGAGCCAAACAACAAAGATACAAATTTCCCCAAATCACGACACTTATCATACTTGAAACATACATAATTATGTAAATACTTATCTATATAAACACAGTTAGAGTAATACAGCGTTATACACTCACACATACATTTGTATAGTGAGATGGATATGGTGCAAACCTGCAAGGTAAGGAACTCCTGGGGGATCTTTTCAGGCATCTGGAGCTTGTCCTTGAAAAAACTAAGAGATTCGGAGCAGTGGCGAAACTGATCGGGGGTTAGAGATGGCCTCGGCGGCGAATCGGCGGCGAAATGGACGGAGTTGGCCGGAGAAGAAGATGAGCCGGCCGTGAAAGGTTTTCGGGCTGTGGCCATCGCCGATCTCCGGGAACGAGTGCGAGTGGAGATGACGTTCCCCGTGGCTCTAACGTCTTGTTTGGCTCTCAATTTTTGGTTCACAAATCGCTCTCCCCCTCCACTGCCTATGTGTAGTACATATTGGCGGAGAGATACAGGAATCAGATTCAGTGAGCAAAGACTGTATCGCGAGTGTTAAAAGGTGCTGTTACGCATTTTAGGTAGGGTTAATTATTAACAAAATAGTAGTAATTAATAAATAAATGTAGTAGCAAGATTGGATTATTATTTGTTTTAACTTTCAAAAAGATAATTAAATTTAGGGGAAAAAGAAAAATGTTATGAAAATAATTTTTTTTTTTTTTTTTTTTTAAATTTGAACAAATGGCAAATTCCATGGAGTTGGAAAGTAATCTGAAGTCAAAGGGTTGTGATTTATTAGTATTATTCATATATATATATATTTTTTTTTTGGCTACCGCAAATAACTCATTCCCGTTTTATTTTTACTGACAGTGAACTATTGAATATTAATTGGATATAAAGTAGTTTTGAATTTTTTATATTAGTTAATAGTATTTGAGAATTAGGACTTTAGTGTTTTTGTTGAAGTACATACGTTTTTTAGTTATAAATTTCCTATATTTTTTATGTAAGAATTCACATCTTTAAGTAATAATTTTACAAATATAATAAATATAATAATTTTACATTACTTTTTGTCCTACAATATTACATCACTATAATGCGTGACTTGTGTGTCCTCCCTCCACCTTATAAAGCACGATGAAATATGAGTACGGATAAAAATACGGTGTATGATAAATTTTTTAAGGGTTAATTTTACTTATATTCCCTAATCTTTGACTATATTTCACTAATACTTTCTTTTGGTTTCAATATTCTACCCACACACTTCCTTGTATGTGACACCGTCTAGTTATTAAAGGAGCTATGTGATTTTACAATTTTACCCTCAATTATATATTAATATTCATAAATAAATTATATATGAAATTAAAAGACTAAACTACCCTTAATTTTTTATTACCTAATTGTTCCATCTGTGAGCAAGCCACCAAGTATACTGAAGCATCTATTAGGGGTTCCTATTATCTATCCCTGACTTGCCTTAGCCGTGAACTGTGAATAGCAAAAGCAGTTGAGCTTAGATCTGAAAAGAATTTGGATCATAAAGGAAGGGAATGGAAATAACAATTAATGCCAACACTGACAAATGCTCTCAGATAAACCACAATCCAATAGAGAAAAACAGTGAATTTGTTAATGGGATTGGGTTGTATCCGGCGCGCGGTGTAGAAACACGCACAGATGACGGCGGACTGATCGCGACTAATGGGCGAACAAGAATTTCGGTGGGGGTGATGCTTGGTGACTGTTCTGGTGATGGGTTTGTCGTCCGAGGCCAACCACGCGAATGTGACACAAAGGTCTCGGCGAGGAAACTGGTCTGGATTTCCAGACGATGGGCAAGAAAGAAATAACCCACGACGAGCAAGGATCTCCTCCCATCGCCGCCTCTTTCTCCACCGCCACCTCCTATCGTCGCCGTCACCATCCACTGTTTCCTCTTCTCACCATATTTATCTCATCTCTCTTTTCCCTATCAATTTTATTGATACATCTGCATGTGTATATATATTTATATATGGATCGAAGTTTTACATATGGTATATATGTAGATATATATGACATCAACTATCCTTTTGGGGAAATTTCAAAAAAAAAAAAAAAACTATCCTTTTGGTAATGAAGGAAATTCTGCATATAGGGATTGTTGTGAGCGGCCTTAGATGATTTAAGTGGGTGTAGTTTGTTGGATTTAGAGTTTGGGAATGATATATTTGATTGTTAGAGAGAAAGAAATGTAATATTTTCAGGATATATTATTTAATTTTTTTAAAAAATTAATTAGCACAAAAATTGAAAATTTATTGGATTGAACAAAATCAACAATTTATTGGATTGAACAAAATCACAGAGAGAATCATGTTGGAGGATGACGATGAATATATATATATATATATATATATATATATATATGTTTGTTTAAGTGAAACGACGGAGTTAACAAATTAAGGGTAGTTTTGTAATTCTGTATTAATCAACGAGGTTAAAGATGTCATTTTTGACATTAGAAGGATAAAATTGACATTTTAACAAATTTCTTACGATGACGTCAGCTCATACCATTAGTTATTTAACAGCAGGAAATAATTTGTAACATATGATCAAAGGTTAAGGAATGTGCCTTAAATATTAAAATTTAGAGAGGGTGTTAGCGAAATATGGTCAAAGTTTAGTGAGTGTAGGTGGAATTAATTTATTTTTTAAAAATAGAACATTAGTACAACCGTATGAATGCGTAAATAATAATAATAATAATACTATATATTTTTATCATTTTATCCCTACAATAAAAATAAGTCAATAATTTAAAGTAAGGAAAAAATAAATAAATAAATAAAAAGGAAAAGGAAAAGACGCCAAACCAAACCCTCCTAAATCCCTCACTTTTGGTCTGCAAACACAATTCCTCATTTCAGATTTCAGTTTGACAGCAAAAACAAAAGCAAATCGAACTCCACTCAGAACCCAGTCAGAAACCTCTGTTATGAGGTTCATCCTCCATTATCTCTCTATACCTCACCGGCAACCCCACCACCACCACAGCCGCCGTGCCTTCGTCGACATTGGCGCCATCAAATTGGTTCGAGACCGAGCTCTCGACCACGCCGTCGAGAAGGAAAACCACCTCAAACCCATGCTTAACCTCAAGAACCTTATCAAATCCGAGCCCTCCAAGTCCCTCCCACTCTCCATCATCGTCCAAAACAGGAAAACCCTCGAGATTTCCCTCCGCCCAATCGAGTTCGTCCGCAAATTCCCTTCCGTTTTCGAGGAATTCCTCCCCGGCGGAGCCGGAATCCACCCACATGTCAAATTGACCCCCGAAGTCCTCGAGCTCGACGCCGAAGAGGAGTTGATCTACCAGAGTGACAATTACAAGCAACAAGTCGCTGACCGGCTTTTGAAGGTATTGATGCTAACCAGAATCCATAAAATTCCATTACATATCATTGATCGCCTAAAATGGGACTTGGGTTTGCCCCAAGATTATACACAAACAATAGTACCTGAATTTCCTGATTATTTTCAAGTCACTGGTGACAAAGGTTCTATTTTGGAATTGGTGTGTTGGAGTAATGAGTTAGCAGTTTCAGTAATAGAGAAGAAGACAAGGGATTATGAAAAGGGAATGCCAATTGCGTTCCCTTCACAAAATTCCAGAGGTTTTGAGATGGATAAGAATTTCAAGAAGTGGGTTGATGAGTGGCAAAAGTTACCTTACATTTCTCCATATGAAAACGCATCACATCTTCTGTCCAAGAGTGATGAGTCGGATAAGTGGGCAGTGGCTGTATTGCATGAGCTTCTTCATCTTCTTGTTTCGAAGAAGACGGAGAGAGAAAATTTACTTTGTCTTGGTGAGTATTTGGGGATTCGGTCAAGGTTTAAAATTGCATTGCTTCATCACCCGGGCATATTTTATATTTCAAGTAGAATTAGAACTCACACTGCGGTTTTGAAGGAGGCTTATAAGAGGGCCTTGTTGATTGAAAAGCATCCGTTGATGGACATGAGGTATAAGTACATTCATCTTATGAACATGGAGAAGAAGGATCATAAGCCAAAATCTTTACAAGGAAGCAGTACACGACAACAAAAGGCATCTGGTGAGTCTAAAGAAGGAGAAGTAGAGGATGATGGAAGTGGGGGAGAACAAGAGCAGATGTCAAATGGCTTGTCAGATTCTGAATTTGAGGATGATAGTGATGATAATTGTAGTGATTATGATGAAGAGGACGATGAAGATGAGAGTGAGACACTTGCTTACAAGAATATGGCAACAAATAAAGGAAGAACAACTAGGAAGAGGGATTTTGAAGAGAAAGGGCCTATGAGAACAATGCCGAAGAGGTCATTTGAAGGAAAACCCAGGAAGAGTCATGATAAAAAGGCATCAAAATTTTCTAGAAGAACAGAAACGCGTGGTGGTCATGATTTTGGTGGGAATTCCCTGGAGCGATCAGATGCCCGGAGAACCATGGGAAGGTCAAAATATGACAACTGTAATGATTTTGATGATGCAGAGGATGGAAATGACAGTGAGGCACTTGCTGGCAAGAATATGGAAACAAATAAGGGAAGAACCACTAGGAAGAGGAATTTTGAAGAGAAAGGGCCTATGAGAACTATGCCAAAGAGGTCATTTGAAGGAAACCCCAGGAAAAGTCATGATAAAAAGGCATCAAAATTCTCTAGAAGAACAGAAATGCGCGGTGGTCATGATTTTGGTGGGAATTCACTGGAACGATCAGATGCTCAGAGAACCGGAGGGAGATCAAAATATGATAATTGTAATGATTTTGATGATGAGAAGGATGAAGATAACAGTGAAGCACTTGCTCGCAAGAATATGGAAACAAATAGAGGAAGAACAACTAGGAAGATGAATTTTGAAGAAAAAGGGCCTATGAGAACTATGCCGAAGAGGTCATTTGAAGGAAAACCCAGGAAATTTTCTAGAAGAATAGAAACACGTGGTGGCCATGATTTTGGTGGGAATTCACTGAAGCGATCAGGTGCTCAGACAACCACGGGGAGGTCAAAGTATGCCAAAAGGACTTCCACATGGTAGAAAATAAGTTTATTTGCTGAAGCAACATATGGGATAGGTTTGAATTCTTGGCCAATATTCCCCTCGTTAATCAATTTCAATTTTACTGTCTCACATGTGCTGTTTGTTTTCATTTACCTTCTTAGAATGTTGAAGTACTGTTATTGCGTTGTTTAATGTGCCTCTATTGTGTGGGTTTACAATGATGTGTCTGTAACTATGTCAAGCGTGCATGCACATACGTTAGTACATACACATTTACATACAAGATTATGTAGTCATCCTTTCCTTGCTTAGCCAGTTAGCAGCTATGACTGTAAGACCTTTCCTTACTTATACCCCAAAATATTGCAAGAAGCTCTGCGTTGCAGGAATATACTAAACCCCATAAAGGACTTTTAGTAAGATCCATGCATTCATTTTTAAGTGACCAGTTACATTGAATTTGAAGGTCTTATAAGGTGGTGGTATTCAAACACTTTGTAAATTGTAATATTCCGAGATTCCCCAGGATCGGACAGTAGAATTAAATTGAGAAATGTAAGATTCCACATTAAAGAGAAAGCTAATACCAAGTAATATTTCTGTTTCATAAACATTACTTATTTTTTTCCCCAGCCGAGACACACACATCTAAAAGTGCATAGTGAAAAACTAGAATTGTCAAGGGCTGCCTTGTGAGTGTTCTGTGACAAGTTGATCATTTTAGCTGTAATAGAGTATGTGGAACTAGCAATGGCTAAATTAAAACTAGGCTAGGACAATTAAAAGCAATGGATTTTTTTTTTTTTTTAATTATTAGTTGAGTGTTTTATTTTTTAGAGTTTATTCGCTGAAGTGAAGGTGCGCCTCTAGGAAATGATTTAAACCTCTTCTTTTGAATCAAAGTAATTGATAATATCTATATTATGGAGTCAATTGGGGAATCAACAAGTTAATGCAGACAATCAATATATCATAGACATAGAAATTTATCCTTCAATCCAAACACAACCCTGAAGACTGAAGTTGCAATAGTTGATCTCTTCACCCCCCACCCCATCTTTCTCCCTCCTTACACACAGTTCTCAGTCATTTATAATCAGTAAACATTTTTTTGGTAAGTAAATTACACAAATTCTATAATATGTTTTTTTTTTTTTTTTTTCCCTGAAAAAATAAAAGGAACTAATCAGATGGGGAAAACAATTCATTTACAGGAGGAGCAGTGCATAAAAGACATTGTAGTCATGATTCATAAGACCCCAGGAGGAACAGTTTATACAAATACAGGCCATACTTAATCAATAAATTAGCACAACCACCAGTAAGGTCACTGACCTGGCGTCCCTAAACCGTGCCCAATGGTTATCTAGATTAGTGAATTGTTTACTCTTTACAATTTGAAATTTTGTCTGCAAATGCAAAATAACCACCAAATTAGTGAACTATTATTATTATTATAAGATTTCGGAGGAGAAACTTGTTCAATCCCAATTCTATACAAGGAAGGTAGATCGTAAACTCAGCCAGTGTATCTGACCCTTAGAGCTCTAGAATTTTACTCCTCTTAAAAACATGTATGCTGCAGATAGTTTCAATTTCTAAATGTTGCCACTCTAGAAATTTAAAAATTAAGTGGAGCTATTATTATTCATAAGGTATCAAACATAACTGTCTAGTAATACACCTTAATCTCTATTGATGGAATAGAATCTGAGTACGTTTTCTGGCCAAACACGAGATGAGGATTCCTAGTTTTCTCATTGGTAGTCAAGAAGAACACTTCTGAAAAGACAATGATTTGGTCATAATGATGATTGAGAGTCTCATGTTCTGGCTAAATTTTCCCTTTGGACATTTTATGCATGTCCAAACCAATTCTCATACTCAAAACTAAGTGACTTCCAATAATTTTGTCAGCTTAATAACCAAATTCCCACCAATGTTCCATAATGTACAATTCCTATTCTGAATTTGCTGGTAATGAGAAGGCTCAATTTTATTTATGCTTAGACTTTTTCCTTATTTATTTATTTGTTTGATACCGGTACGAAGATTATAAATCTTTTATATATCTCTGGAACAACTTGGTGAGGTTTGAACCTTTCATCGCTAAAAGATGTCACCTAGATATCCCTAGGGAGAGGGCCAGTGGGAGGAGGGGTGAGACGGTCAATACTACTGTTTCCCTATGAAGCTTCAAATTCTTTCATGGAATGTCCGGGGTCTTAACGACTTGGCTAGAAGGAAAGTGGTGAAATTGGTGATTCGGAAAGCGGGTGGTCATCTTGTATGTCTTCAAGAAACAAAGATTGCTTCCATGACGGATGTGATTGTTCAAAGTTTGTGGGGTGGGAGATTCGTGGAGTGGTGTGCCTTGGATGCGATTGGCTCTTCGGGTGGTATCCTGATTATGTGGGATGTCCGTTGGATCTCTTTGTTAGATTCTCAGGTTGGGCGTTTCTCGGCTTCCTGTATTCTATCCATGGTGGAGGATGGCTTTCGTTGGGTTTTTTTCTGGAGTCTATGGGCATACGAAGGATAGTGAGTGCCATTTGTTCTTGGAGGAGCTAGGGGAGATTCGTAGGCGATGGACGTTGCCTTGGTGTATCGGGGGGGAATTTCAATGTTGTACATTCCCCTTTTGAGAGATCGACAGGGGGCAGATGGACAGCTGATATGATGGCTTTCTCAGAGTTTATTAATGCTTGCTGTTTGCTTGATTTGCCTTTGGTGGGTGGGCCTTTCACTTGGTCCAGTGGACGTTCTCCTCCTACTCTTTCTCATCTTGATAGATTCTTGGTGTCGAGTGATTGGGAGGAGAAGTTTTCTGATGTTGTTCAGACCATCTTGGCTCGTCCTTTGTCTGATCATGTTCCGTTGTTGTTGGACTATGGCGGGCTGCATAGCAGAAGATCCCCATTTAGATTTGAGAATATGTGGCTCCGGGCTGAAGGTTTCTTGGAGCGAGTTTGATCCTAGTGGGCGGGGTTTGGAGTGGTTGGCACTCCGAGTCATTCTTTGGCAGGCAAGTTGCGTTTTTTGAAGAATGATCTCAAAGTCTGGAACAAATAGGTGTTTGGTAACTTGGTCTGGAGAAAGAATCGGGTTCTCTCTGAGATTGCTGACATTGATAAGATGGAGAGTCAGGGTCTTTTGACGGGTCCTTTGAAGCTTGGGAGGGTGGAGTGTCAAGCAGAGTTTGTTGAGATTGCTGTTATGGAGGAGATTTCATGGAGACAGAAATCTAGAACTTTGTGGCTTAAAGAAGGTGACAATAACACTAAATTCTTTCATAGACTTGCCAATGCTCACAGAAGGGGCAACCACATTGGGAGGATTAGGGTGGATGGGGTGTTGATTAGTAAAGAGGAGGAGATTAGTAAGAGCTTTTCTGACTACTTTACGACTTTGTTCACTGAGTCAGCCGATTGGCGTCCTTTGCTTGATGGGCTTCATTTTGATTCTATTTTGGGAGAGGAGTGCTCTGTTTTGGAAGAGCCTTTTTCAGAAGAGGAAGTTTTCTCTGCTCTGAAGAGCTGTAATGGGGATAAAGCTGTTGGACCGGATGGTTTTGCTATGAGGTTCCTTTTGGAGTGTTGGGAGGTGGTCCGTGAGGAGGTGATGGGCTCTTTTCATGCCTTCCATGCGCAGGGCTCTTTTGAGAAAAGTTTGAATGCAACTTTTATTGCTCTTATTCCGAAGAAGGGAGAGGCAATAGATGTTAGAGACTTCCGCCTTATTAGTTTGGTGGGATGTTTTTACAAGTTGATTGCGAAAGTCTTGGCCTCTAGGTTGAAGAAGGTGATGGATGGTGTCATTTCTGACTCTTAGAATGCATTTGTGGGAGGTCGGCAGATCTTGGATTCAGTTCTTATTGCTAGTGAATGTGTTGATTCCCGTTTGAGCAGCGGTGTTCCGGGTGTTCTTTGCAAGCTAGATATTGAAAAGGCATACGATCATGTGAGCTGGAGTTTCCTTCTCTACCTGCTAGAGAGGATGGGTTTTGGTGGGTGGTGGAGGAGATGGATTCTTTTTTGTATCTTTAGCGCTCGTTTCTCTGTCCTTGTGAATGGAGCGCCGACGGGTTTCTTCTCTAGCTCGAGGGGCTTGAGACAAGGGGATCCGCTTTCCCCTTTCCTGTTCCTTTTTGTGATGGAGGCTCTTAGCAGATTGCTGAAGAGGGCTGTGGAGCTGGGTTTTTTTAGAGGCTTTCGGGTGGGCAGGGATGTTGTTTGTCAATTGGAAGTTTCTCATTTGATGTTTGCAGATGACACTATTGTGTTTTGTGATGCGGATGCGTCCCAGCTGAGGTATTTGAGATGCGTTCTGATTTGGTTTCAAGTTGTTTTTGGCCTTAAGGTTAATGTTGGTAAGAGTCTTTTTGTGCCTGTTGGGGATGTTCCGGAGATTGAGTTGTTTGCTCACATCCTTGGAAGTTGCACTGGCTCTTTTCCCATTTCTTATTTAGGATTGCCTTTGGGTGCCCCTTCGAGATGTGTGGGGAGCTGGGATCCGATTGTGGACAGAGTCGAGAGGAGGTTGGCGGGTTGGAAAAAGCAGTACCTGTCCAAGGGGGGTTGGGTTACCCTGATTAAGAGCACCCTTTCTAGCCTTCCTACATACTTCTTATCTCTGTTTCAGATTCCTTCTTCAGTGGTTGAGAGAATTGAAAGATTGCAGTGCAACTTTCTTTGGGGGGGAAAGGAGAAGAGTTCAAGTTTCACTTGGTTCGGTGGGATCAAGTGTGCCGTCCAATTCGGTTTGGAGGCTTAGGGTTTTGGAGGTTGTTGCCTTTCAATAAGGCTCTCTTTGGTAAATGGCTCTGGAGGTTTGGGATCGAGAGGCATTGGTTAAGGAGGAAAGTTATTGCTCACAAATTTGGGAAAAGTCGTGGTGGGTGGTGCTCTCTGGCGATGCGTGGTCCAAGGGGGGTGGGAGTTTGGCATTTCATCCGGAGGGGTTAGGTTGACTTCTGCAAGCATGTTCGTTTTCGTATTAAAGATGGAAGGAGGATCAGTTTTTGGAAGGATCTCTGGTGTGGGGATCTCCCTCTTGCTCTCGCGTTCCCACGGCTCTATAGGATTGCTTCTCATCAACAGGCCATGGTTGTTGACTGTTATCATCTTGATAACGGGAGACTGTCTTGGGATGTTTAGTTCAGGAGGCATTTTCAGGATTGGGAGATCGAGAATGTTTCTCGTTTTTTGGAGCTGTTGTATAGCCAGGTGATTTCTTTTTAGGAATTGGATTGGTGGTTCTGGATTCCTAACTCGCATGGCCGTTTTGAGGTTAGGTCTTTTTTTAGATGCCTTTCGGTTGGTCATGGTGATCCCTTCCCTTGGAAGTCTATTTGGCGGTCCAAGGCTCCCCGCAAGGTCGCCTTTTTTGCTTGGACCTCTGTTCTGGGTAAGATTTTAACATAGGATAATCTGAGGAGGAGGAATCAGGTGGTGGTCAATCACTGTTACATGTGTTTGTGTAATGAGGAGTCTGTTGATCACCTCCTTTTACATTGCAGCATGGCCAGAGATTGTTGGGATTTGATGCTTCGTTTATTTGGGGTCTATTGGGCCATGCCTTATTCCTCTAGAGGGTTGATTGAGGCTTGGAGAGGCATCTCTGTTGGGGCTGACATTAGGGATGCTTGGAGAGCTACGCCGCTTTGTCTTTGGTGGTGTATTTGGCTTGAGAGAAATAGGAGATATTTTGACGGAAAAAAGAAGCTTGTTTCTATGCTTAAGTTCTTTATTATTTCTACTCTTTTTTGTTAGGTTTCAGGGAGAGATTATAGATCTATGGAGGAAATTATTGTTTTCTTGGCCTCTCTGAAGGTCTAAGGCGCCCTTTGGCCCTTTTGTTTCTTTGGGCTTCACTCCCTCTTTGAGTGTTTTTAATAAAATCTTACTTATCAAAAAAAAAAAAAAAGATATCCCCAGCTACAAGGCCCATGGAATGCCTAGTCATGAATCATGACATAATCAAACCATATGTGCTCACTGCACTTGTTGGCATTGAAAAGGCCCAAACCAATCTCAGCAAGAAAAAGAAAAACCAAAATGAAGTAACTATGGCATCGTATCACCAAGATTTGGAAGATTGCTCGTTGCAACGTCGCCTTGATTTTTTTGCAAACGGTGCAACGTCGCCTTGATTAATAAGCCCAATATACACATTGAAAAAGATTCCCTCAAAACAAATACAAGATACTACTCTTTAAACATGGTAGTTTCCAATCTCACTAGCATATACTTGCAAGTGGTAAAGGAAGAAAGGTAATTCTATCAAAAATAGAAGAGCAACTTCCTCATGGAAATTCAGTGTAGGTGCATCATAAGCTCACAAGGCACTGCTAATGAACAATTCTCAGCATTGACAATGTTGGAAGTTCATATCTCAGATGAAGATAAGTCCAAAAAGTTGAGACCACATCTAAATTTCCAAAAGAGGCAAAAATCCCCAGAGTTACAATTTTAATTTGTGGCGCATACACCGATAAGATATTACTGACATGGCACAAAATACCCAACTGATATACTCCCTTGCAAAGGAGCTGTGCTAAACAAGACATTACTGACAGTACACTATTCACCTTCAGTATAGGAATTGTACATTATAAAATGTTTTCTACGTCAGTTCTAATTGGGAGGGCTGTCCATTCTCTCAAACTTATTATAGAATTTGTGTAATTTACTTGCCAAAAAAAAAAAAAAAAAAAGAATTTGTGTAATTGCAGAAACGTGTAAAATTATATTTTAGTCTAGGAAATACAAAAAAATTTATGTCCTTGGTATATATATAAAGGTCTTGATAGTTTTGGCAAATGTAGATTAGGAGATTTATTTTTCAAAACTGATTGGGAGTTCTACACGCTTTCTCATGGGGAGCCAATTGTATGGCAGATTCAGGTGTTCTCACCTCATTTGGATTACATAATAAGCTCTTAACTTATCATGCACACCATTGCCCGTGAATTGGTTTGGACATGCATAAGTTGTCCGAAGGGAAGAAAATTGGTTTGGACATGCATAAAATGTCCAAAGGGAAAATTTAGCCTGAACATGAGACTCTCAGTCATCATTATGACCAAATCATTGTCTTTTCAGAAGTAGTGTTCTTGACTACCAATGAGAATACCAGGAATCCTCATCTCGTGTTTGGCCAGAAAGCGTACTAAAATTCCATTCCATGAACAGAGATTAAGGTGTATTACTAGACATTTATGTTTGATACCTTATGAATAATAGAATTGGGACTGAACAAGTTTCTCCTCAGAAAATTTATTACAATAATAATAATGTTATTATTATTATTATTTTTTGGAAGATCTTGTACTGTTGGTTTATACTGGTTCCATTAGATTGTTCAAATTTAGTTTGTAAAGATTAAATAGTTCACTAATTTGGTGGTTACTTTGCATTTGCAGACAAAATTTCAAATTGTAAAGAGTAAACAATTCACTAATCTAGATAATTATTGGGTACGGTTTAGGGACACCAGGTCAGTCATCAGTGATCTGTCATTTTTATTGGTTGGCAACAAATAGAGTATTGGTTTGGTTACTTTTTTCTTACTAATGGTTATTTCTAATTTATGGATTAAGTATGGCCTGTATTTGTATAAACTGTTCCTCCTGGGGTCTTATGAATCACGACTACAATGTCTTTTATGCACTGTTCCTCCTGTAAATGATTTGTTTTCTTCCCCATCTGATTAGTTTCTTTTTTTTTTTTTTTTCAAGGAAAAAAAAAAAACATGTTCCTTTTTTGTTCGTTAATTGGGGGATTGTTGTTTTTCCTATTAGGCCATTCTTTTGTTAATTTTTTATAGTTATGTTCTATTATCATTTTTTTTTTTTTTCTCTTTTTGACAGTTATAGCTGAAACTTTTATCATGTAACTAAAAATTTCATATATTTGTAAAGATGGGTAAAGATCTTGTTCGTTAATGAGGCTAATTTGCAGGTAGATGAGAAACTAGAATTCTCAAGGGCTGCCTTGTGAGTGTTCTGTGACAAGTTGATTACTTTAGCTGTAATAGAGTATGTGAAACTAGCAATGGCTAAATTAAAACTAGGCTAGGACAATTAAAAGTAATGGATTGGTTTTTTTATTATTATTAGTTGAGTATTTTATTTATTAGAGTTTATTCGCTTACGTGAAGGTGCGCCTCTAGGAAATGATTTAATCCTCTTCTTTTGAATCAAAGTAACTGATAATGTCTATATTATGGAGTCAATTTGGGAACCAAGAAGTTAATGCAGACAATCAATATATCGTAGACATAGACATATATCCTTCAATCCAAACACAACCCTGAAGACTGAAGCTGCAACTCCCTCACCCAAATCTTTCTCCCTCCTTACACACAGTTCTCAGTCATTTATAATCAGTAAACTTTCCCGTCATTTCTAATTGGTAGAGCTCTCCGTTCTCTCAAACTTATTATAGAATTTGTGTAATTTACTTACCAAGAAAAAAAAAAAAAAAAAAGAATTTGTGTAATTGCAGAAATATGTAAAATTATATTTAGTCTAGGAAATAATTCAATAGCAAGTACACAAAATTTTATTTCCTTGGTATATATATAAAGGTCGTGATGGTTTTGGCAAATGTAGATTAGGAGATGTATTTTTCAAAACTGATTGGGAGTTCTTCACGCATTCTCATGGGGAGCCAATTGTATGGCAGATTCAGGTGTTCTCAGCTCATTTGGATTACATAATAAGCTCTTAACTTATTATGCACACCAATGCCCATGAACCTACCAATCATGTTGGAATTTTTAACTATAATAATTTTGCTTAATTATATATATTGAGCAGTTCCATTTCCTTTGGCAATTTTCCTGTGTTCATTCTCAAGCATTTGTACTTCCTAAGCATGTGTTTTTTTTTTATTTTTTATTTTTATCTTTCCAGTATTGGGTCTTCTTTCCATTGTATAATTTATTAATGTGATTGTGCAGGTTGGCAAGACATTGTCCTCTTTATCCAAAGTCCATCTTTGATCTTATGTGATGCTATCAGTCAACTGGGATGCTTATAATTACTGCCACTATTCTAGACCACTAAGGCTGGCCGTATCTCTTGAGAAAACTGTGTCCATCTATTTGTGTGGTCCTCTATATATGGCATTCCTTGAAAAATGTTGACAGTTCTCTCCCAAAAACCAACCTATGTCATGATCAAGAATTTGAGTTGACCTTTCTCCTTGCCTCTAGTAAGAGTCAACTTTCTGGTTCATCTGATTGTTGATTCTTGGGAGGATTTTGGCCTGCAGAACTGGGGTTTTAGAAGTCATTTCAGCTTTCTTTTTTATTTTTGCTGATAATTGAAACTCACTTCTTTCCTTGAACTAAAATGGTAATACCCGGTTCTTTGGGATTGTATCTCGAGTTTTATCATGGTTTTGGATATTGACTGCATACCATAACCTTGTAATTTTGTTGGGGTTAAGGCCCATAGTAAATTTGATCCTTCATCTTTGATTCGAGAGCAATATTTTTGCTGTAATTTCTACACCAAATGCACTGTAAGGCAGTTGTCACGGCTTGTAGGTAAGCCAAAACATACTATCGCTATCTCTTTATTGATAATTTTTTTGTTAAAATAAATCTTTTTTTCATAAGATCCTCCAGTTCAATTTTATCTCTTTTGACGTGTGAAAACTGAAAACTTCATTTTCTTTTTCTTGTCATTTGCATGCCATTCCATAATCAGTCCTCGTAGATTTTATTTGCTTATTTGAATGCTAAATGGATTCCTCTTTGATCAATTGAAGAATATTGTGAAAAAGGTCTAAAGTATTGACTGATTTTCCATCAGGGATTCCAAATTTTGTACGAAAATATTAAGTGTAGTGAACAATGCTTTAGCTAAGACACCAAGGGCTTAGCCTGAGTCTCTAGTGGGACATATGGGTGGCGTGTGACTTACCTACCCAAAAAATTAAAAATACTAAAGTGAAACAGATACAGAAGTTCCTAGGCCTGTATGCCATCTGGCATGGAGGGATTTAAAGCAATGATTTAAGCATGAATTAAGGTTTGGTGATTGCGAATTGAATTCTTGGGCACTCATAGAGGCCAAAGACTGTTGTGGCAAAATAGTAAGTTGCTGGCATGACTTGAAGAGGAGTGTGGTGTCAATCAAGGGAAAGAAGAAGTACAGAGCTGCTGGAATAGTTTGGCTCTCAACTTGTATGAGATAAAATTTTGATGGATTATTATTATTATTTTTATAGCTAGATTAGGTTTAGATTAATTTTATAAATTTAGGATGTACTGCCTTTATTTGTGTCTATCTATAGATGATTTAGTTTCAATTGATGAAACTGAAGAAGGTTTAATTGAAAAGCCAGAATTCTGGAGACTTTTATAATGACAAGGTTTTAAGGTAGTAAACTGAATGCAGTGGATGTGCTTAATACAGATTAAGGTTGAGTCATGTTTGAATTTGATGGGCTTGAGGTATCTAACAGTGATAAGTTTTAGTTCCTTAGATCATTTTTCCAGTTGATATTGTTAAAACGGAGATGTACTTCCTGTTATCATCATCAAATTTCTGTTAGAAGGATTGCACCTCTCAAATAATTATGGACGGTTCACACTGACACTGTGATGCAGAATGTTGGCTGCTAATGGAAGATGTTGACATCATAGATTAAGAAAAAATGTTGCCAAGATGGATGAGTGAAATCACTAAAAAAGTTAATCTAGCAATGAGTGACTTTAAGCACATTTGTCTGTGTAACCCTTAAGAGTACATGTCATGATTCAGATATTCCAATTATTGTGATTGTGGAGGATAGAGAGTGGAATGATATGATTCTCATTTTATGGATTCATCTACATATCTAATCAGGCTATTCTTGATTATTTCAAGAAAACTAAATCTGTACTTGATTCAGTTGATTGCAATCTAAGTAATATTTTCTGAATTATTGGTTTCTGTTGACCTTTTATGTTACGATGCTCAGTTTATGAACCTCTGGGAAAAAGACAAGGCCAAATGAATTGTTTAAACATAAATTTTAGAAGTTCAGAGCGCAAATGGTGAAGTGTGGGTTTGCACAAGTTGAAGTTTGTTGATGAGGTGCAGTTGAAATAAGGTTCATGAAGGGACACGTGTAGGATTGCTGAATCCAGAGAGTTGTAATAAGCTTTGATTTTTTATAACTAAAATGGAGTCGAAGAACTGGTCTGATGTTTCCTGTTGCAAGTTGTTAATTCACAGGTTAGGGAATGATCTATTCTTTTTATGAGGTAAAATTTGAAAAAACTGACGCCGTTTGGATACTGGAAAGTCGAAAGCTTGGCAGCTGATTTTTTACTGGACTAAGATCAGTCTGGTTGAGGTTAAATTTGGGGACTTTTGGTTACTTTTGGACGTGGAAAGCATTGGATGTATAAAGAGGTTTAAAATATATATCATAATTTGGCAAGTTGTTTTTTAGTGGAATTTTTTGGTTTTAATAGTGTTGGCACTTTTCGTAGTTTTGAAGGTGGAAAGCATTGTGAGGTAATAAATGTTAAAAATAAACAACATAATTTGACTTTTTTCCCTTTTGGGCCAATAATCTAGATTGGCATTGAGAGAATCTCAAATGAATGGATTTGAGAGAATTATATGTGTGGACTCTAAATAACAAGGTGTAAGGAGTTATTTAAAATCCACGCCGACAAGAATTCAAGTTACTCAATGATTGTAATATAACTTGAATCATGATGCTCATACGGTGTCCATTCAATTGTTCAGATAAACTTACGGTTTAGATTACAAACAAACCTAAGCATTGCATTTATTTACTTGTAGCATACAAACTTAAATTTACATTATCATGCTTGACAAACCAAACTTTAATTCTGGTTTTGGCTTTGATGTGTATTTTGTTTTTCCTTTTGAGTAAGTTATCAGTTTTCCCTCTCTATTTACTGTTGAGGATGCTTCCTCTTGATTGATGGTTTTTATGCTGGCCCAACAAAATTTGATTTAGTAGGAAAAAAAATATATATATGTCCGAACTTTTATTGCAAGCAACACACATTGCTACTTGATTAACTCTTAACTTTTATTTTAAGCAATGTCATGGTCCTTATAGATGGAGATGTTACATAGAAATATTACAAGCATGATCTTACATATCAGTATAGTGGAGGCATGTAATCTTTCTTTACTTTATGCACAAAGAACTCCAAGGTCATTGGTGATTATAAAGTAGGGAATTTCCTTTTTCTAATAAGTGTTCTTTTATTTTGCTGAACTTTTGTATGCTCAAAACGAAAACCTCTTTGTTGTTGTGCCTTGTAAAGCCAGACTCAGGTGAGCCCTCCAAAGATATTTACCAAAGGTCGTGAAACCAAAAGAATGTCAATCATAGCACAAAAGAAAGTGATAGGCTATAGATATCAATATGGAAGAAATAATTGATTGCCCTCTTTGTCTTTACACCATTTTTGTTTTTCCTTGTGATTTAGAAGTTGGCTCTTAAAGTTGGTAAAGATAACTTTGCACAGTATATTCTTATGAATGGATTTAGATGTAAAGTCATGTCAAAGCCATTGCAAGTCATAAAGAATTTTGGCATGGAGGAAACAGTGAGGTAGGAGTTTAAATCTTATCTTTTATTTCACGCCCAATATATATATATATATATATATATATATATATATATATATATATCCTTTGAATTGTTGACAGTAGTTGATTATTTGGTTTCCCTAAAACTTGATCCCATAATTGAGACACCTTCATTACTGATTCGAAGAGGCTTATTTTTCAAATGAAACATCCCAAGGAATAGCAACAAATTGTGCTTTTGCTAGTGCATTTTCTGATGAATGGCCAGTGTTAATTTTCAACGGATTTTGTGGCACTAATTTTCAGCAGGTTCTTTCTCTCTCTCTGTCTCTCTTTATGTGTGTGTATAGGATAAATTGAACTGCTTGTGTATATCGAATTTGGATCATCTCTTGTGCACTGGACGATTTAGTGTACTGAACAGGGCGGAGATCACCCCATAAGGGGTTTTGACTCCACCGGTAGTGCACTAGAGAGTATTCGGGTTCGTGTTATCTTAATAGATTCGGGTCTGTGTTTTTCATTAGGGTTTAGATTTGAGTCTAGAGAGGACACCTGCCTATGTTCTAGTAACTTTTTTTATAGTGCTCTCTGTTTGTAAGGAGTTAACACAAATGTCAGAATCAGTATTTAGTCTTAGGGCTGATCAATCTAACATCTTTCACTTCAGAATATGTTATGTTTAACATCTTTTTTGGAACTCTGGCTTAGACTTGTACTTGTTCTCCATAATTTTTTGGTCGATGATCGAGACAATTGATATCGTTGTGGAGGAGAGCATTACCAAAGTATGTCTAGTGTCCATCTCGTCTGGCTATCTGAAGATAGACATAACTTTTGGTCATATTTTGTACAGTGTGACTGTTCTGAACTCTATCCTGTTTTCTCGAATTTGTGTGTTCAAACTTTTACAATTTTACTTTTACCTGTAAGAATTAATGCATGCTTTTCTTTTCTTTATTTTGTGCCTATACTAAATCCGCTCGATGTTTTTATTATTCTCATTGCCAAACAAAGGAATAGGGTTGCGTTAAGCAGCTTGATTCCCAATACGAAAGTAGTTTGGTAAAAGTATTGGTTGTGGTTGATGTATTTTGCACCTATATTTGATCTTTGGTTTTTTTTTTTTCAGTAATTCACCCAACATGAATTGGAAGTGGAAGCTAGGCCTTTCCGAATGAGACCCAACTAAGTAAAAAGCTGATTGAATGAACAGGAATTGAATAGTATTGAAACAGAGACATCCAAATCCACTAGTTTCATTAGGTCTTGGACTTTAATTCTCATAAAATTTATAACCATATATCATCACATATGGTTAATCAAAAGGCTGCAAGTAGGGTCTACTTCAGGTGTGTGTGTTGGGGAAAAGAAAAAAGTGCCTGCTCCAGTGGCCACAGTCATATTTCAGCAGACCTCCAGCACCATTCTCGAGCATTCGAACCCTGTTCCGGATTGTGTTGTCACCCTAGGAGTAACACACACACAAACATACACTATATGTAAGGGACATAATATTAATATTAAAATTAAATTTAAATTTAAAAAAATAAGATAAATTACACTTATCTTTCTCCAATTCTGTTAATATTTCACATAGATCATCTTTTAGTTTTATAATTTCACTTACTTCCTATAAGTTTTGTGATTTATGTAATAGATTCTTTCCGCAGTTAGGGTACCTAACAAAGACAAATATAATCTCTGCTAATGTGAAAAGCTAAAAAATAAATAGAAGGTCAATTTTGCCCTTCTAATATCTGAAATTGTTATGATAAACGCAACGAACCCAAGTTGAATCAAGAATCATAACAAAAAAGTAAACACGCCACACAAAGAATATAAAAATTTACACATGATTCAGTAACAGCTTACGTCTACGATTGGGATTCGACAAAAATTTTCACTATATAAAATCGAAAATTATAAGTTTTCAGTTCCTTACTCTGTTTCTGTTCGAATTTCAGAATTTCTCTCTCACTTCTTTCCAAATCTTAAGCGCTTTTTATATATCGGTTTACAAGAGAATAATTAGGGTCCATAACCCATGAGCAAAAAATGGGTCAAATTTTTTTCTCTGGAGCAAATCCCCAAACTCATCCAACGAGTCGTCGGGTTATATTCGCATACCAAATTTAAACCACAATATTACAGAAATGACAACAAACATTTTATAGTCAAAATAAAAAAATTATTCACTACCGTTGCCAAGTTTGACGGGGCATAATTATGAAACCAACAGACGGTTTATGGTATTGACAACCCTCGAGGGAAGGGAAGTAAGTGGAATTTACACAAAATATATATATAAGACTGGCTTTCCAAATAAGTCAACAATCATTCAATCTAGTGATCTGATCATCCCCATCCACTACTTCGTACTCAAAAGCTACCATTTTGGAGCCCACTTCACCAGTTCAAGTAAACTAAGTCACACGTGCTCTTCAAAAGCACACTCTTTTTAACACTACATGCTTCATCATGAGGCACTACTGAGACTAAACCAGAAATGTTTTGGCTTTCAATTGCATCATTGTGGATAGTAAAAGTTGTAGGAAAAAAAAAAAAAAACTAATTAATCCTATTGGCCTCTACGTTTGAATAAGGGCAAAATTGAACAGTAGATTAACCCCCTTTATTGTGAGACTTTAATTGAAACTAATTTCAACGTGTGTATCCGAAAATTAGGTAACCAAGAAAATGTTAAAGGGCCTGTTTGGATCAATTTTATGAGAACTGAATCAGAAATTGTATACAAATCTACCCGACAATTTTTGAACCAAACGTGCCCTAAATTACCGGACATTCCTTCCCCAAATTCATCTAACAATGCCGGATTCGTCGGACCCATTGCCAACACTGAGTCACACTAGCATGAAGGACAATGTACTTCCCCCAGCTTTTCTTTGTGCTCCCCTAAGATGAAGAACACAAACTGTTTCTAGTGGTTCAATGTGTACCACACTAACACTCAAATCAACTACAATGGGAAAAAGATTTTTACAGCTTTTGAGATGATGAGTAAGGTATATTAAAAGAAACTTGTTTGTTTTGCGCCTATTTTTATTTTTTATCATCGACAAAAAACTCACGCACATCACTCCCGCACCCACTTTGTTGTGTTATTAAAACAAGAAAACAAAAAAATGTTTTTATATATACAATGCCCATTCTTTAAATAAGTGTCAAACCACCTTCATTTGTCAGACAAAGTAGAAAGTTATATGCATTGATAGATAAGTCATTACATTCTCTGCATTGAAAAAAAAAAAAAAGAGCACAGCCCAGTGGGCTTTTAAAACATTGCCTCACAGCACAAAATCAAGTAAAGGCATCATAAGATCAGACTCTCCCCAAAAAGCAAACGAACAACAAAATAGGATTCCCAAAAACTACAACATTACCCCCACACATTTTTAACCAATTCCCTGTACCCTCTAAACATATCAGTACTCTCTTTCTCTTTTTTTCCAAACATATCATCCATGTTACCATGTTCTCATTCTAAGTAGTAAAACTCTATAATTGACGACATTGTCACACTTGAGCAGACCAGAACGTGTAGAGTGGTGGACCCCACACACACTCATTTCTCTAGTCGGCTGTAGCAATGTCGGCAATGGTAGCATTCCTTCTCTACAAAACATCATCCAGGCGATTACTCTCGCTTACCAAGAACTCCTTTTTCTCTTCATCATTCTCAATTTTCTCCATCTCAAATCCAGTAAGCTTCTTAGCCTTCAAAGCTTCACCTTCCCAGTCCGTACACCCCAACACAGCATAGAGAATGGACACTGCGCAAGCCGCTTGAGCCGACAAGAGCCCGAACCACAGCCCACTGAAGCCAACTTTGAACCAGAATGCTAAGCCTACGGCTACCGGGGTGCCCACGAAGTAAAACGAGCCAAGGTTGATCCGGGCACCAATGGCTGGCCTAGCCGTGCCACGGAGGATGCCACAGCCGGTTGTTTGTGGACAGTTTCCGAGCTCACACAACCCCATGAGTGGCATAACTGATGCAACCAAGGCTGTGACCATGCCATCTGATGTGAAAAGATCAGCCCATGTCTCCCTAAAAATCACAGTCCACACCACATTGATCAACCCCATCACAAATGCACAGCCCAATGCAACCATTGCAGCTAGCTTGGCCTTGTATGGCTTCCCAGCCCCAAGCTCATTCCCAACCTACACCACATACAGAAATGGCTATGAAATAAAATTCTTTATCATAAACAAGAAACAAGATCAGGAATGCTTTGAATAATCGCATGAGAACTGTCCACTATTAAATGGGGTGTAGGTATAGTCTGAACCACCTATTTACCGTTCGTGACAAAGTCAAGTAATTCCTACGGTCATTACATGATTCAGAAATGGTTATATATACGCAATTTTACTTTACCTCCAAATACATACGAAGGATTAAAAACAAAATATAACATAGGAGTAATTGTTAAAAAAATACAAAATCTTATGAAAATCAACATATATTTGATCAAAGGGACAATCACATGATGGACTAAGGAGGAGACACTTTATTGGACTTTTATAGTATTGTGGGCATGAAAAGGAGGATGATAAAGCCATTTGTTTCACTTGTGTTGGTTAAGAAGTTTGGTGATGTACCAATGGGAATGAATGAGTGCTTGGCCATAAAAAGGAGAACATTGAAAAGGGGATGCAGACGAGAGGGTACACTTGTCCCATACTAGACTTGTTTAATCACATTACATTTGTGATCTGATAGGGTGTGCTACAAGTGGGAAGTGTGATGCAATCAAGTAACAGATTACATCAAAAGCATATAATATTCAAGCATTGTCCTCACTACCAGCCCCATCATGCACAAAAGAAAAAGAAAAAAAGAATTTTAAACATCACACACTATGTGTTTTATAAATGTTGGGAATTATTATTCTTTGTTGAAAATTGAAACCTCAGTTTGTGTTGGTGCAATGCAACTTTATGAGATATGTGACAACCATGAAACTGACCTTATTTTCCAAATTTTGATCAAAATTAAAAAAATTAATTAAATAAACCAAATGTGAAATTGACATTTTCTTAAAACACAAGATGCATAGTCTTTTTGTTTTCCAAAAATTCACAATCCAAAATATAGAAGATTTTGTATCTAATTTCAGCTCTATAAGAGCAATGCCATACAATCAAAATCTATAATTTTAAAAAATAAAATAAGGAGGACAATCACTATGATTCAAAAGAGGAATGACAGTTGAGTGTTCGAGACCTATTAGGAACAATATAGTATACATATTTGTGCTTTTGCTTGAACTATCAAAAAAGAAAAGAAAAGAAAAAAAAAAAAAAAAAACCTTCAAAGGTCAGTACGGAATAATAGCAAAGTGGTACCGTGAGCTAAGGGTGACAAGAACCCTCATGGAAGGGTAAAATAGAACATAAAATCGCAAGTAAACCCCCAAGCTGTGGGAGGAGCTTAGGGCTCAGACCCTATGGGAGCCATAGGGAAAGCGAGTCAACAAGGCCCGGTTGACTCAGAACATGGTTGTAAAGATCAATAATGAGTGGACTCGGGGCAGCCAACTCAGTGAGTTGAGACAACACAAATTTTAAGAAACGTAACACATACATACCATATCTGCTGATGAGAAAATGAAAAGTAGTTTGTTTGTATAGAAACCTACTCTGGCAGAGACGCAGCCAGCCAAAGCCATTGGAACAGTGTACATGAGACTAGTTGTCTGTATCAGTATCCCAGTGGCGGCCACAGCCAGTCTTGGATTCGGCAGGTACCCGGCAAGGACGGTCACGATCTCATACCACCACCACTCCAAACAGATCCCCAAACAGCTCGGCAGAGCCAGCCTCATCAGTGGTCCCACCCCACCACACACCTCCCCAATCCCCGCCGTCCATCTCCACTCCCACCTCCCGTACACATACACGTACCCGGCCATCAGCACCACCATGTGCAGGTTCGTCACCACCGAAGCCACCGCCACCCCCTTCACCCCCAACCCCATCACCACCACCATCGCGTAATTTAACGGTACGTGGAACAACACCGCAACGAAACTCGAGTACATCATTGGCTTTGTCACCCCCTGTGACCGTAGATAGACCCGCAATGGTTGCAACAAGGTGTTTGTTAAAAGGTCTGGGAGAGAGTAGATGCAGTACGTCGCGGCCATTGATGTGATCTCTCTGTCTTGGCCCATCGACACCATGATGGTCTCCAGGTTGATCCAGAGGAGGCTGATGGGGATGATGGCGAGGAGGAGGATCAAGATCATGCGTTGCAGAGAGAGCGACAGTAGGTCCCAGTTCTTGCTACCGTAGGCTTGGCTGCACACTGGCTCGAGCCCTGAGGCTAGACCCACAAGAACAGAGTAGCCGGTGATGTTGGTGAACCCAATCGATAGGGCTCCGCCGGCGAGCTCTAAGCTGCCGAGTCGGCCCAGGAAGAGGACTGACACCACCGCTCGAACGTAGACCAAACAGTTCATTGCTGTTATAGGCAAAGCCATACTCCATAGCTCTTTGAGCTCTTCAAGAACCTAACAAAACAGAGACAATATATATATATATATATATATATATATATATATATTAAACATTCATATTTAGATATGTATATGTAGAGAAAGAGAAAGAGAAGGGTCGGCTTATATACCTGGGAAGCAGAGGGGAGTTTGTGGGAATAGAAATCAGGGTTTTTATCTGCCATTGTTGAAGCTTGAGAAATGGGTTCTTGAGAAACCTCTCAAAACGGCATGTAAGATTGTAATCTCTGCGAAAATTGAATCAGACAAAGAAAAAATAAAAACCCATTTCTAGAAAAAGTGAATAAAACCGAACCCAGATTTCTATTTTCTATATGGTTCTCATTTTTCTCAGTAGTAATAGCAAGAACGAAGAAGAGAAATTCAAGAAATTAACCCACCATGTGTTTCTCTCTTTATATGTCAGTTTCTGCAGATTTGGGTTGGTGAAGTAAAGGCTAAAAATGGTGAAGAAGCATTGATTATGAGAAACAGAAGATATCCGTTTCAGAGGATTGTGGGTTTGTGTAAATTGAAAAGACAGAGAAGGAAAGGTTAGGACAGAGTAGGTATTAAGTTGTATGCATACTCTATATTGTAGGGTTGTGTAGTTTGTAGTCTGACGATATTTATAACAGAGAGGGTCGAGAAAAGTAAGGAACTTGTTAATGGCGGCGACTGTGACCTGGGTTTATATTTATATTTATATTTATATATAGAAATAGAGCTGCTGCTGCAACAGAGCAGAGCAGCGAGGACAGATGAAAATCATAATTTTTTTTTTTTTTTTTTTTTTTTTTTTTTTTTGGGGGGGGGGGGGGTGGGGAAGGAGAGGAAAATTGGAGAGAAAAGAAGGGAAGATTTTTCAACTTCTTAAACACCTTGGGATTCATGAAAAAAAAAAAAACACCTCTGGATTCAAAATTTTAATATGTAATAATTATTTATTGAGAACTGATAAATCAAAGATTCGAGGATTTTTTTTTTTTGTTTTTTTATGTTGGTATGCTTTCATTTTTGTGAAAAACAAAAGCAGTGATTCTGCTTTGCAAGTCATGAAAAATAGTCCCATACGGTACAACTTAAAAACGAAGATGACTTCATGTAGCATCAAATTAGTATTTTTAAAAATATAAAAAAGTTGGCAACTTGTTTTTATTTTTTATTTTTAATTCTTATAACAATTGGGAGATCAAAACATGATTAACAAATGCAAATTTTGCCGCTTATTTTCATTTTTTTAAATGGCTGCATAAAAATTGAAAATGACAATATTACCAAACAGGCATTGATTTTTGTTTGTGATTCCAATAAATAGTGTCCCAAGAATTCTTGTCAGCATCAAATATGAATAGTCTCTCCTTATATATATATCAATGAATGACACATCACTAAGTAACAACAACAAATCATATTCTTTGGGATAAACTGCAAAAAAAAATCTTTTGAGCTACGTCAAAATTGTCCGAATTTACAAATAGTTTATTTGAAATATATTTTGTGCATTATATCTCTTAAATTATTACATTTTATTATAAAATGTCACAATGCTTATACTATTTTTCATTGAATGATCATAATATTATTTCTTTTTGAATTGCACTTAATTTTTTTTTTTTTAATTAAAATAAATTATGTACATACTATATTGATGATATATTTCCAATAATTTTGCATAAATTTATTTTTAATTTTTAAAATTAATTATTTAAATAAAAAAATTAATTAGAAAATTATATAACAATTTAAGTAATTTCTTATTTTTTTTCATGAGTATATTGCATGAAATATGAAGGTATTTTTTATTTAAATAATTTATTAAATTTCCTAAATATATTGTATGAAAAAAAAAAAAGGTATATTGTATGGTAAAAAATTTTAAACGGGGTATAATAAGTTTTATTATAAATAGTAAAGTTTTAAAAATAAGTTAATCATATTAGAAAATAATAATTACAAATCTGTTTCTTTTTAATGATAAATTGATACTAATAATAAAATTAAGATAAATGGTATAATTAATATTTAGAGAAGAGAAAAGATAATAAAATAATTTAATAAGAAATAAAAATTTTAAAGATAAATGGTAATATAGCTTTTTGTGATGAGTTTGTTCCGAATTACAATAGATTAATAGTTCAAAAGGCAAATTTATAATTTAGGAGACTTATTTGCAAAAGAAAAATAGTTCAAGCGGTTTGTTTTTGCACTTTACCCAATTCTTTATTCTTTTTATTTTATCTTGATAATTAACTTAGAGTATTTGTTTGTTCTTGAAGACATGAGTTTTCTACTTTAAAAAGGAGGAGATACAGATAAGTTATAATAAATTAGTAATTGAGATTTTCATTAAATTAAGTAACATAATTATTCTCCAAAAAAAAAAAAAAAATTATATAGACCATGGATAATAAATAGTTATACTTAAATAAGAATAATAATTGAGATTTTCATTAAATTAAGTAATATAATTATTCCCAAAAAAAAAAAAAAAAAAAATTATATAGATCATGAGTAATAAATAGTTATACATAAATAAAAATAATAATTAAGTTATCACCCGGCACTAAAAACGTGCAACTTCACGTGATCAAGAATACTCTCTTAACAACTTGAAGAAGTACCGTGTTTGAGTAATTATGTCTCAGCATACATATTAATTTCGAAAATATATAGCACTACTCCTCCTGTCCAAACAAAGTAAAATAAGTTCCACAATAAATATCTATCTTGAAGAATTACTATTTAAGAAATTTAATTTTATGTGTTTCCTTATTGGGTGTTTAACAATAACAATTCACCTTAAAATTGGCTAACTCCACTATCTACGGTGACCTCGTAATCTTGCAATAAGATGTCCTTCGTACCATTTAAACTTTGAGCACAAAATAACTTGCACAACATCATCACATTGTTTATATACAAATGTTAAATTATAAAGAATAAAATAAAATAAAAAAATTGATTCAATTTTTTTAAAAATAAAATCATACACGCAGATCAAATAAAAGGGATCAATTGAAATAAATTTAATCAAATAACAGAGAAGAGAAAAAGTTAACCAGAGCATGTGATGTTCTTAAATGAATATCAAAATTCAGCTTAAAAAAAAAAAAATTGATACATTTTTTAAATTTCTAATTACGGCATATGATGAGACTTATATCTCAACATTCATCAAATTTGGAGAACGTATCAGGGTTCAAGTTTAGAACATAAAGTCATGATAATTATATAAATATGTCTTACTTTTCTTGGAAAAATGTGTCATTTTTTTAATTTATTTTAAGGGTAAATCACAAATACACCTTGGTGACTCTATGGGCGGACCGGTGTGTGTGAGTATGTGTAGGTGGTATTAATAAGCCATCACATTGAACGAGTTACAGGTGCACAATCCTATATCATCTGGTGTGGATAGGGAAGTGTTATATGTAAATTCAATACCCTTGTATGACACAACACGTTTTAAAGTTATGTTGATTGTGAATCCACTAAAACTCTGTAGTTAAGCCTGCATAACAGGGAATAGTACCTGGATAAGTGACCAAAAGCGAACACTATTGTGTTTGAACAGGGTGAGAGTCGTTACATACACATTTGGTCTATTGTTTGCATCTTTTGGATATGTGGCCGTTAAAGTCCATAATTACAACAAACAAAGGGTTACAAATTTTCAAATTACCATTTTTTATCTTCATCTTTTTTTTGGTTAAGAATACCATTTTTCTAATTTAATTTATTATTTTTTTTCGGATATTCCATATATATATACTCAATGATTAAAATCATAAATTTATCTTTTACTTTCAAAATCGTGCATAAAACTCTAGTAGAACCAAAAAAAAAAAACCAATAGAATTAAAATAAATTAAAAAAAAAAAACTTATTAAGTTACCCCTAAACACATGACCGACCCGTTAAATGAATTTTGAAATGTCAAATTTAACCTTAGTATTTAATATTAAATTAAAAGGTATAATTATTATTTTAATATTATTATTTAATGTTAGTTGGGATCTCACTAAAGATTGATGACCCATTACTTGCCCCATTATTATTTTTTTAATTTTGAAATAATAATTATAGTTTTTAATTTAATATTAAATAGTAACGTCAAATTTGATATTTTACAACCTATTTAACGGGTCGGTCAGGGGTTTGAAGGTAACTTGATAAATTTTGTTAGTTTAATTTTTTTTTTTTTTTTAATTCTACTTAGAGTTTTATGCACGATTTTGATACTTAGGGTAATGTTATGATTTAACCCTGTACCCAAGTAAAAAGTACCTGTAGATTTTCCAAATTACAATAGTCTAAATTAATGTGACCTTTTTGAAAAATTCAGAACAAATGTATATTATAAAAAGTCAAATCAAAAGTAATGCCATTTTAATTTTTTAACCTTTTAATTTGAAAGATGAGAAAGTATCACCACTCCAACCCTAGCTAGTAAAATGTTTTTTTGTTTTCTGAACCTTGCTGGTAAAGTATTTGCAAACTATTGAAGTTTATTCCAATTCGATGTGAATACATTCAATAAAGGAGATGTGAAATACATTAAAATGTTAGTAAAATTTATATAAATGATGTCTCGATTTTGTGTAACAGGATTGTTATATGATCAAATATTAAATAGTTAAAGAGAGTATAATTTAAATATTTAATTTTTATTACATTATTGAGGAAAATGATAAATTTGACAATGTATTTGTTATGGACAATAAATAATGAGACCTGCTACTTGGCCCGACAAATGAAAACCTACTATTTCACGAAATCTAGGCAAAAGAGCAAAAAACACCTCTAAACTATACCATTGTTGCATAATGCCCCCCTGAACTAATTTTTGAAGCAACTCAGCCCTTTAACTATAAAAATGTTACATATTGCCCCCTTGACAATATTTTTCGGCCACTGCAGGTTAATTTCCGACCAATATAGGGACACAATTCCTAATTGACCCCTTACTTATTAATTTATTACAAATCAAAGGTAAATGAATCCGAAGATAAAATCCGTTTGAAATTGATCAACAACAATGATCAATTTCAGGAAACAAGTGGGGGGACAGCTGAAGTGCCTAAGAGATTCTTGGTCATCTTACTGATTGTTTTCCGTACCAAAATCAAGGCAAGGTTAAGGGCTAAAGGGGACTATGAAATAACAAAGCAATTCTTCAGTTTCTTCATCATCAATTCCTCCTACAGATAAGACAATAAAGCATTAAATAGGTTGGTTGTAGGGTGCCAAATACGGTGTTTGTTATATCACCACTTCCCATCACTTGACTTTCCAGTTAGGAAGCCTGTTTTATTTTCTTACTTGCACAACCGGGGTGAACTTTTTGCCTTAGATATGGTCTTTTCGCCTCAAGAGAGGATCTGCCTAAAGGAAGACGATGAAGGAAAATATAAAATCTGAGGGTATTATCGAAATTTTACACCTATAATATTTTACATTTTTTATAATAAATTAATAAATAAGGGGTAAATTAATAATCGTGTCCCTCTGTTGGTCGGAAATTTGCTTCCGGTGGCCTGAAAAGGTTGTCAAGGAATATGCAACGTTTTTATAGTTGAAGAACTGAGTTGCTCCAAAAAATAGTTTAGGGGAGCAATATGCAACAATGGTATAGTTTAGGGCTGTTTTTTGCTCTTTTGCCCCTAATTTATGTGGCTACTCATGTGTCAAATATACTGAGACCCATTTTAAAATATAAGGTAATTGACTATTTGAAAAGTTGTAATTCCTTTTCTAGGTTTATCTTTATAATGTTACCAATTTTTCCTATTTTCTATTCTCGTGAATTTATTTTATTTTTCTGGATTATTTTAATCCTTACCTCGTTTTGCGTGGCAAGCGGGCCTCTAGGGGCGTTTTGGTCATTTGTCGAGCCGAGAGTTATAGAAATTTATTTTTAATCATTTTAAGTCAATTGGAAGCGATGGTATTATTTTTAGAATTTTTTAGAAGTTGGGACAATTTCTGGATTCGGGATTTTCTTCCGATTTTGTCATTTTAAGTAAAGGGCATAATGGACCTTTCTCACATATATGTATACATCTATATCTATATATTAGAGATAGATATTTGTGGGGTAAGAATGGCAT